CGAAGAACCACCTACCCCGGGTTGTGGCTGAAGTCAAACCTCACCCCCAAAAGCAGCAAGAAGCAGAGTATTTATACATTTATTTATAATGAAAGTATGGTTCTAATTATTTACAACACATAGCAAAGACAATGTTTGTACAAGTGAGCCAGCAAGGTGTGCAGCAGCCACACACACGTCCCCGTTTTAAAAACTATTTCTCCCATTTGGAAAGCTGACCAGCACCTTGTCTCTCTCCGTACAAAAGAGTTCTTTCTGAAACAGCCCTCCCCGCCAAGAAAGCCTGTGTCGCAGTTCATCTCCATGAACAATCCAACAACTTATTCCCAGGTTCCACTTCTGCACTTCAGGGCAATAGCAAGGCCAGTGCTGGGGTCCTGGCGCTGCGTGGACCCGGCTGCCTTTTCTTTGTTTTAACCACCGTGAAACAGAAGGGGTAGAATCAAGTAAGTGAATGAGTTAAGAGATGGGGCGAATCTCACGAGAAGGAGTTCCGTCCGAACTGCTGAATGGGAATGAAATGCGCAGGGGTGACTGGAGAACATTAACTACCAGTGCTGCAACGCCAAGTCCACATGGCGATCAGCGGCAAGATGAACCCATCCAAAAACTGAGCATCCCCCCGCCCCGACATTTGGCTAGAACGAGAAGTTGTGGGGTTAGTAAAACCACATTTTAAAGAAAAAACAGTGCTGAGTTACAGGAGATGCTTAAAATAAAAACAAATCACGAGTTTTAGGCAATGCGATCCTCCAGTTTTTCAGAACTACTGTATATTCCTTTCCTTTGTTGAAAGTCCAAACATTGAAGCCGGGGTCACCATTAGATCAACAGGTCTGCAGGCACAGGCTGACAGCAGGAACGCTCAATAAAATACGAACACCAGGTGTAGAATGAAGTCAGCATGACTGACTCTTTCCATTTTTAAGTTATCCTGGAAAAATGGGAAACGCGGACCGACAGGCTTCCCTAGTTTCTCTTTACAGTACTTCCCCCATCGTATAAGGGACTAGCCCTGTCAGGGTATTATTTCAAATATTTTTTTTTTAATTGACAAATTCACTGCAGAAAGAAGGATTTTAAAAGTAATGGAGCCCTTTCAAGGGGGAATACTGAACCCTTAGCTTCTGCAAATGTAAAAACAATGCATATTTGCAAAGTTCATTCTTTAATATACATGCATTATTGCTAGAGGGAAAAAAAAAAAGAGATGAATGAAAACTCTTCTGCAGCTTTTATGGTGCCATCCAAAATGGCATCTGTTGCTTAGCTCGCTGTTGTGAGGAAGGGTACTGGTATCCCAAACTCCATCCCTGTGAAAAAGTACTTGCGTTTTTATGGCCACCATGTTCCTCCTCTTCATCTGATGAATCTCCAGCATACGCCACTAATCCAAAGCCCTTTTCTGCAGTTTTCATCTTCTTAGCTTGATGATCTAGGAGGGGAAAACAAAACAATCCCCCCCGGCCCCCAAGAAGGAAAAATAAAAATAAAGAGATAAAATGCCCCAAAACAAGTTAATAAAAAAAGATGTTAATTGTAAATTGTTAGTTGGACACCATTTTGAGGTCACAAGGCCAATGGTCATCCAAGGTCGAAGGCCACACGAAACAGCACCAGCAACAGCACATGTGATCCATCAGAACCATGTAAGAGAACAGAGAAAGAAGAAACAAACACACAGAAAAGGTAAAGTTAGCAAATGGGTCTAAGCGATGGCAATTTCACCGTTAAAGAGATAAATATGTAAAGAAAAGTAGAAATTTTGTTCAAAAGAAAGCTAACAGAAGAGCAATCTCTGGGACCAATACTGCAGAAAAACTAAGGTTAAACAGACTAACATGATGTACCTGCAGACCTGAAAGGCACTGAACTACCAGGAGAATTAAAACGATTACATGTTTTACCAAGTTGCAAATACTTGATGTATGAAAGCCCTACAAAACGATGAAATCTGACAGCACTTCTGTTGTTTGCAGACAAGGTAGACGTAAGTCATGTCTGTAAATACACACCTGAACCATAACTCCCACTGATACTCCTTAGTGCCTCTAGAGATAGCTGTTCACAATGTAAAGCCACATATCTGTGTTACAAAACAATCTCATGAGATTCTGTGCCTCAGCTGGCTGATGGGTCAAAAATACTCGTCTTTGGTCCTTCACTTAATTACACTCTCCTCATTCATACAGATATTTATTAAAGTTTTAAGAGAAGTGTCACGTATGTATAATCACAGCGAACATAAGTGATTTTAGAGCAGTGCAATACGACCTGCTTTTCACTTAAACAATGTGGTGTAAAGAACAGCCAAAAAAAATCACCGATTTAAATGAGTGCTAAGACCAGCACAAACTCATTTGGGAAAAGAAACTTGACTTAGAAGCGTATTTTATTCATTGCACTCACCATGGTTGCCTGGTAAAGACCCCGCACCATTTCTTTCTTCAGATTCCGATTTCATCCCAGTGACAGGAAAAGCTGGCGGAGGCATCAACTGCCTATTTAAACCAACGCAAGCCCTTATTGTTTCTTTTTTTTTTTCCTTTTTTTTTTTTTTTTAAACAAGCAAAGAGTCAAAGGTAATAGCAAACAAATTCATAACTCAGTCCTTGACCTGAGGAGTTTAACTTTTAATTGCCTGACTAATCTAGTGGCCTTCTATGATGGAGTGATTGCATCAGTGGACAAGGGAAGAGCAGCTGATGTCACCTACCTGGACTTCTGTAAGGCCTTCAATACGGTCTCCCCCCAACATTCTTACCTCTAAATCAGAGAGAAATAGATTTGATGGATGGACTATTAGATGGCTAAGGAATTGGCTGGATGGCTGCGTCCAAAGAGTTGGAGTCAATGGCTCAATGTTCAAGTGGAAACCAGTAACAAGTGGTGTCCCTCAAGGGTCCATACTGGGACCAATGCTATTTAATGTCTTCATCAATGACATAGACAGTGGCATCGAGTGCCCCCTCCACAAGTTTGCAGATGACACCAAGCTGAGTGGTGCGGTTGATACACCAGAAGGAAGGGATACCACCCAGAGAGACCTTGACAAGCTTGAGTGGGCCCATGCAAATCTCATGAAGTTCAACAAGGCCAAGTGCAAGGTCCTGCACTTGGGTCAGAGCAATCCCCAGTATCAACACTGTCTGGAGGATGAACGGATTGAGAGCAGCCCTGCAGAAAAGGACTTGGGGATACTAGTGGATGAAAAATTGGACACAAGGTGCTAACATGTGCTTGCAGCCCAGAAAGCCAATCATGTCCTGGGCTGCATCAAAAGCAGCGTGGCCAGCAGGTTGAGGGAAGTGATCCTCCCCCTCTACTCTGCTCTCTTGAGACCCCACCTGGAGCACTGCATCCAGCTCTGGGATCCCCAGCAGAAGACACGGACCTGTTGGAGCAGGTCCGGAGGAGGCCACAAAAATGATCCGAGGGCTGGAACACCTCTCCTACGAAGAAAGGCTCAGAGAGTTGGAGTTGCCCAGTCTGGAGAAGAGCAGGCTTCGGGGAGACCTTATTGGCCTTTCAGTACCTAAAGGAGGCTTATAAGGAAGATGGAGAGAGACTTTTTACCAAGGCCTAAAGTGACAGGACAAGGCGTAATGGTTTTAAACAAGAAGAGGGCAGACGTAGATTAGATATAAGGAAGAAATTCTGTTATGAATGGTGATGAGACACTGGCACAGCTTGCCCAGAGAAGTGGTAGATGCCCTCTCCCTGGAAGTGTTCAAGGTCAGGCTGGACAAGGCTTTGAGCAACCTGATCTAGTAGATGTCCCTCCCCATGGCAGAGGGGGCGGACTAGATGATCTTTAAAGGTCCCTTCCAACCCAAACCATGCTATGATGCTATGAAATAAAGTGCAAGCCTGACAGTTTTGTGGCTCAATACACTGGAGTGCATATGGAAGAGCAGTGATGCCTGATGACTTCAAATAGCTAGGCTGAGTTTAGGACTACATACAAGATGTAGAACATAGAAAACTTTACCAAAACCCTTGATGACATATTTCATAATGATGAGAAAACAAAAGGGACTATCAAGTAAATCTTTCGCTGAAATTTCAGGCTGCAAAATTTCAAGTTTACAACTTTTCCAGATATGTTTTAGAATTGGAATAATTTAAAGTGTAAGTGCTAACCTATTTCACAAGAATATCCTGTCATCTCAAGAAGTTGGCAAAATACCACACCCAGACAAAGTAAGAGCATACAGACTTAGGGAGGAGTGGAAATTAAGCTATTTTCTTTATGTAGCATCAAAAGGTAACCCTTGCATCCCTTCTCCTTAAAAACAAACACACACACACCCAAAAAACAACAAAAAACCACCCAACACAAAAAACCACCCACAACAAAACAAACAACCCCCTCCAGATCCTAAGTCACACAAGAGAACATGAAACACAGATTTGAAATAAGCTTTCCATCAGAATCAGAAAAGACTGAACATAATTCTTTCATCACTCACCTGTCCCTCTCTCTCTCCTTTCCTGAGGAACTTGCTGGCTTCGATCCGGCTCCATCGATTTCACTCTGACTGGAGAAGCCTGTACCTAAATTAGTCATATGAATGGGTCCATGCTATGAGCAGAAAAACACACGGCATTAGCAAATCTACAACTACAACATAAGCTATAGCTCCTTAATGATAATGATAGGAAACCCAACTTTTCAGAGCATATTGCCAACTAGTAGAAGAAACCACTAATTGCCATTGTTAAACAAAACGCTTTCTCCTAAAAATACTGTGGGTAATGTAGTAAGAAAGACGCCTGAGCACCAATATGGAAGACACCTCACCACCTACTCCACCTTTCCAGTAGTTCAGGACAGTAAAGATAGCCGCTTAGTTCACGGATTGACTTATTACCTCTTCAATAAGGTAATTCTGAATACTGTATAGACCTCATGCCACAGTAAACTCTGCTCAGGATACTAATATTAGGTCTAACATATAGGCAGTTCCTTTTTTTCTCTAGGCAAAGCTTTTATTAAGGGTTTCTGCCTGTGAGCAGGGGTGTGTCATCACAGAAGCATTTGCAGAAACTCCCTTTTCTCACATACAAGTCTGAAGAACTCCTCAAAAACTATTTTTATTAAAATCAACTGTCTAACATTTGCTATCTAAAAAAAAAAAAAATCATCAATCTCTTAAAACTAGGCTTCTTGAAATCCTCTCAAGTGTAACCTGCAAGAAAGGTAAACGGGAAAATCTGGAAGTTATTACCACATTTCCCTCCCACCCCTCAAACAAGCCCACTCAAAAGACCCACAAAATCCCAAACAATCTCCCTTTAAACTAACCAGTAACACGCTCTTGTCATCTCTTTGACCTGAACGCACTGCTATTCTTCACAAAAGATTGAGGGTATGGAAAGCAAGCTGCCAATGAATCAAGTCAGCCACAGTTTAAGAACAGTGCATCCACTCAAAGAAACCAAAGCGTGTTTTGTAACAATTGCTACCATCTGCCAAAGGTCTTGCATGACTGTTGTCAAATAAACTGTGCTAATAACAATCCCTCTCCAGCCAAGTTCCATTTTGGCGAATGAAGTAAAATTGCCGATTTTATTCCACCTGATATCCCAGCAGTCCTGACTCTCTCTCATCCGGTAGTTCCTCAGTGAAGCGTCTCTTTTGACCTTGGGGATGGGGTTGGACTTGTGGCTGTGTACCAGTCGGCACGGTTGTTTTTACTGGGGCAGCAGGAAGAAAAGGACCACTCAGTGGACTCTGGCATGCAGAAGTTGAAAACAAAACACAAGAAAATTTCATAATATGCATATAAAGTATTAATTCAATGTACAGTTTCATACACAGGAGCAGAACACACAACTAGTTTCTCTTTGCAGAACCCAAGAGAAACTAAAAGGAAATTCACAACTTAAAGATAAGGCAAGTATTTCATTTATAGAATGCTCCCACCTCAAAATAATCACTATCTGTAACTCAAACTCATTGTACCTACATAGCTGTATCACAGCCTGTGACAACACTTTCCATAAACAAGTGACCATCCCTGCAAATATCCTTTATGTTAACAGGTGGCTATGATATGACAAACGCAGTATGAAGCAACCATACCAACAATTTAGTTGCTTAGACAGAAGCATCAGCAAAGCAATAATCAAAAAAATGCCCTAAAGAAGAATTATCCATCTGGAACTACTTTTAAGTATTTTATTGTTAGCAAACAGCTTAGTAAGTTGACAACTATAGGGCAAATAATTAATCTGTGGCAGTACCTGGCCAGTGCTGGCTGGAGGCTGTACTTGAGAGATTGGATACTGTGTCGGCACAGGCGGAACTCCTGTAGGTAGTGTTGTTAAGACTCCAGGTGCCAATGGCACTGCAGGCGGTACTATGCCTGGTACACCATATGGTGGCTGAACTGGTTGTTGAGGAGGGGGAACAACAGGATAACCAGACTGATATCCATTGGAAGGGTAATACGATGGCTGGGAAGGTACGCTATTTATAGCGGCAGGCTGTGTGAAGCCTGGTGAGAGAAAGGGGAAAAGAGGGTCATCTTCAATTCAGTTAGAGTCACAAAAATAGTAAATTTAATTACCAAATGTAAAAGAAGCTGGACTCCTTTTCAACTGAAGGACTTAATACAAAGACCTCCACAAGTAAATAAATTCCACAAAACTAACTGTAAGAAGAGCTCTGCAGAATACAGCTTCAAAGACTTCATTATTACTAATGTTTACCTGCTAAGGGTACCGCAGTGGTTATCTGATTCACAAATCGGGAGTATTCAGCATGAACCTACAAAGGATTTTAAAAGATTAGACAATAAACATCTATTTACTATATTAATCTTTTGCAGGCAAAAGGCATCTTACCGTGCATCCCCATAGAACTGTAAGGGGACTTTGATTACAGAACATACTATGCACAAAGACAGCTATAATCCAAACATAAAAACTGAAAACATAAACCTCACAGACCAAAAACACCACCAAAACCCCGCTGAACATCCCACTAATCCTGCTGGTCTCTGTGCCAGATTTGTGTAAAATACAGGATAATCTTTCACAGGAAATAGAGAGTGGCAAACTAGTTACTCCGGTAGAGACAAAAATACTCAAAGTCAAAGAATCTAAAAGCTTCCGTACATTTTTCAAAAGAGACTTTGTAGCCCATACTCAATTATCGATACTAACAGAAAGATTGTCTCACAGGATTTTACTCTATTTGCATTCATGTAAGAAAAGCTAAGAAATTCATTTTCTATGTGTGCATGTGAGAGATTTTCTAAAATTTTTTTGGTACAACAATCACTTTAGGAAAGATACAGCAGACAGCGTGGCTCTGGGTAACTTTTAAAGCTAAAGCAAGGAAAGCTACAGCAATCAGAAAAAAGCAGGATTCCTTTATGTATGCATACAGTCAGACAATTTCCACCCCCCATTCTGCTCAGGAAGCATTTGCATTTTTTTCCCCAAAATTCCACTACTACAGCTCCATCCTGAGAAATGTTTGTTCACTGTACAAAATCAGACAGCAGTACTTAGAAGGAAAAACCTATTAGCAAGTCAGAACACATAGACAGTTTTGCTGAGAGGTTAAAAAAAAAAAATCATTAGCCAGGCACACGCTAAAGCTACGACAGGCTCTGAAATCTCCTATTTTTGAGCTACTCACGGTTTGCAATAGATTCTCACACAGCTTTTTAGCAGCTGCCAAACCTTCTGGCTTTGGGTGACTGAAAACACATACAAAAAAAATACCTCATAAGCACAAATGTTTCTGCCAAATTTGGGAGCTACTTCTTTCATCAGCAACCTGCTGTCAGCTCTTATCCCTTTAATGAGAGATCAGTCACCTCAACAGGACTCTAGCAGCTCTGCAGCTATTTAGCACAATTGTGAACAAAAGTGATGAGTATTTATTTTCTACTTGAAAATTCAGGTTAGTCTAAATACTGCAAGAAACAAGCACAGAACACTGACTTGATTGGTCAGTGCATTTTGTATTCTTCCTTCCATTTTATTCTTCCTTTAAAGCTCAACGACACAGCCCAAGCCCAAAAAGAACGCAGCTTTACTGTGTTCCCAATAAAAGCATTATCTTATGGTTGAATATCACTTTATACCATATCATCATATGGTTGGTATCTTTATCACTTTAGAGACATCTCTATTAAAATAAAAGTCAGGTTCAATTGAGAACCTGATTTGCATTAAGTCAGTCAGAATGAAGAATTCCCCAAACTGATTAAACATTAAGCTACATTCATGACTGGTCACTGGGATTTTTATTTTATTTTTTTTAAAACCCCGCTCATACCTGATGTAGATGTACATGGGTTCAAAAGCTTCTCTGCCCGATGCCGGTTCTATGCAACCTGAGCCTTTCCCACGAAGAAAGACTTTGGCACCTGTTTCAATTTGAATGTGCTGCAAGTAGGAGCAACCAGGCCCTTCCACCTTCTCCTTCACATTAAAAGTAGGTACGGCATGTTCCAGACCAACAAACAATTTGTCCTGAACATAATGCATCTGTAAATGTAACCGTAAAAGGTTATTATCTCACTCTAAGAATTAGGATGCTCATTTCACTGAAGGCCAGAAATCTTATTTCTATCACAGTCTCAATAGTTGTGTTGGATGGCACAGTCAGTCCTTTGCTTTTCTGTAAGTAGGACTGCTCTCTCCATCCCTTTTCTTTTTAGGAGGCTACTGTCATCTGAGTCTCACTCTTCAGACTCAGTCTGATTAGTCCTCCAGTTTTCACAAGACGCAAAGTGCTTCTTGATTTTTTGGGGTGTTTTTTTGGTTTAGTTTTTTTTGTGTTTGGCGTTTTGGTTTGTTTTGGTTTTTTTTTTCCTAAATAAATAGCACATTACATGTATACTTTGTAATAGGCAGATCTTGTAATCAGTGATACTCAGTGAAAGTCACATAAATGAATTACTCACCCCTGACTGGAATGGAGGTTTTTGGCCAACTGCTGGAGACAACTGAGTAATAGGGGCTGGCTGGTGATAGACAGTAACTGTAGCTCCGTTGAACGTTGGACTAGAACCTGTGGCTGCTTTCACTACTCCATTAGTAATTATCTCTTTAATTCGGTTAACAGCTCCTAGTTGACAGAATATGAAATTCATTTATATTTCAGCCCTTGTCAACTAACCAGATTAACCAAATTGTGAAGTGCCTAGATTACTTTCCCATATTCTGTGACAGCAGATCTACAGGCAGAAAGATTGCATCTGACGGTGGGGCCCAATATTAGCATTCTGGGACTGGATCACAAAGGATGGCCACAAGCATCAGGGTTCTTTCTATACTCCCACCCTGATAAAGCTTAGGCTAATATATGCAGGTGGGAGGTTTTAGCCCACACATTTTAACAAATGCTAGAAACATTTACATTAACCCTGTATAGAATTTACATTTACATGAATGAGCAAACTAACACGTGAAAAATTGTTTACTGGCTGTGGAAATCAAGGTAGATACAAGTGGGCAGCTTCAAGTTTCAAGAAACATCTGAGGGCAAGCCCGTGAACTGATACACAGAACAAATGAACACCTAAACAGTTCATAGTTTTCCTTCCTTTCCAGCAGGCAGAGGCAAGAGAGGAGTTCTTTGTTCTTCTAATGGAAATGTAGATATTTCACAAAAAATGTTCATATTTGTACATTAAAGGGAAGGTCTCCCTGTCACACACCTATTGTAACAAGATCTCAGCATATTATCAGTGAATAAACTTATATGTAAGAGCTGTACCTGTCCAAGAACCCTACCCACTCCCCCCACTTTCCTTGTAGTCTACCAAAAGTTTTGGTTTTGTGACTTACAGGATGCACTACACAGCAGCTCAGGTAGTTTTTGAGTTTTGGGTCTGTTATCAACACTGAGATGTTTATAGTACAAATCCACACTGGTCATAACAAAGCCCCTTAGTAAAACCCCTTTATCACAAATAATGAGAGAAAAAGCAGAATGCTTTGTACACTTACTGTCAACCAATTCCCGTGTCTGACCCTGGACATGAAGATACAAAGGACGATCTCTGGAAAGGAAATGTCAAAAATTCCATTAAACCCACAGAGAACATAAAATAATGGATTCAATCTAATTATATTACAGTCAACTAGATGAAGTCTTCCATAAGTTTGAAGTACTCTTCAAATAAGGAAGTAAATACATATTCATTGAATATCACAGTGCTCAGTAAGCAAAGCTTTGCACTGAAAACTAAAAAGATTCAGAAATTATTTACATGACGACTTATTAAAGTTGTATCACTGAAAACTTTAATTTGCTTGTCCACATGAAAGGTTAACTAACTAAAAGCACTGAGTCTATGAAGTATTAGCTCTCTTTGTAATTGGAAAGTTGACCATTCTCGGCAAAATGCACACGAGATCCAGTAGAGTGTTCAGTCAGAAGAAGTTCAGCACAGTCTGATCTGTCACATTTGTGTTTGGTTTGTTGTTGGGGGGGTTTTTTTGGTGTTTTTTGTTTTTTTTAATTTCACCCTATCAATATTAACCAGGTAGGAAAGCAGCTAGGCAGTCAGGCAGTTTATCATAAACCAGTAGAGTGTTCAGTCAGAAGAAGTTCAGCACAGTCTGATCTGTCACATTTGTGTTTGGTTTGTTGTCGGGGGGGTTTTTTTGGTGTTTTTTGTTTTTTTTTTTTTAATTTCACCCTATCAATATTAACCAGGTAGGAAAGCAGCTAGGCAGTCAGGACTATCATAAAGGTAAACATATTCGAAACACTCAATAGTCAATTCGCTCTGGCACCCAAATGTGACACTGCTCATGAAAAACAAACCAAACAAAACCCCCACCACTTCACCACCCAATGAGAAAAAAAAGCAGAAACTCCAAAAAAGAAATACAAACCCGGGTCCCACTTTTGCTTTCTCTTCTGCAGTCATGAATCTCCCTCGAGTAGAGACAGCTGCTCCACTCAGTCGACTTATCTACAAACAATTTGAAAAACCCAGTGACAAGTTTACCAATAATAAACAAACCACACACAAAAAATCCTAAGTGGTTTAAGCTATGTTGTTGTAGAAAAAGACCGGAAGTCATTAATAAAGTGTTAAGAGAATGAATGGTGTCCGCTGAGGGATACTAGCTATGCTACCTTACCTCATCATATGACATTTTATTGAACAAACCAATAAACTACTAAACAAAGTGTCTTAGAAAACACGAGTTTTGTAAAAAGAGGAAATAACCACTGAATATAGTTTATTGCAAGCTCTTTTAACCTTACAAGCAGGTACAAACATCCTGCCAAGCCTAACAAATCAGACGTAGATCCTGAACATACCTCATCCTGAGTCTGTCCTCTCGTCAGCAGGTTTCTGCACGTGAGGGGGACATCATTGATTTCTACCTCTGCCACCACAAGGTCATCTTTGCTTTTACTTGTAGACGGACCTTTTCCCAGAGCCTGCAGCTTCAAAGACAACCGTTGCAAAAGACCAGCAGTTGGAAAGCAGAGACAAATGATGTAACAAACAAATTGACCCTAGTACTCTAGAGGTGAATATCCTTTTCATTCTCCGCTTTCAGCTGTTGAACCCAAAAGCTTTACAAATATTAGCAGAAAGCACATTATATCTACTACTTAATAATCTACCTCTTCACAACCTTGAGCCCAAATAAAAACACTAGTTTTATCTTCAGCACATTTTAATATAGTAAGTAATTACTGTAAATGGAGAAACAGATGTAGAACTAAGCAGTAAAGTTGCTCAAATCAAACCAAGGCATCTTACACTCGAATTGGCATCTCCGACAGAAATCTGTGAGACTAATAAAACATATTAGTAGCCAAACATCATACTTCTCTCAACTCCCCTTACATAGGCATAGAATTTAGAATTTCTGTTCAAGATCTAAACTCATCCACACTATGACTGCACTTCCCTCCCCGCTCCTTTTTTTAAAACAAAGGCATAATATTTTTTGTCAGTATCTAAGGGCTAAGAAAGAAAACGCCATGGATTCACAAACTGATTCAGAAGATACGGCAGAAGAGTTGGAGTTACGACAAAGACCTTATAGCTTTTTCCACATACAGAGAGTTAGACAGCACATCCATCTAAAAATTCTGAAATGCTTTTGGGAACATAAACGTAAAACAAGACTCTATAAAAAGAGAACCTTCCAGTAACATCCAAAAGGTATCTATCCACTCTCATAAATATCACATGAAGCACGGCACTTGCATGAGAGCCAGAAGGCAGCTATAGAGGGACATAAGTCTAATGCATTGTACATGCATTCTATTTCTTCATTCCTTCCACACTTTTAAAAAAAAAAAAGTACATTCACTAACGTGCAGGCTCCTTAATTTCCATTCGCTCACAATCTGAAGTGCTGTCAGAGTTAATTAGTCTGAAAATGTCATCGCTGAACATTTCCTAACAAAAGCAACATATGCAATAAAAAAATAATCCCATTAGCAAATTAATTAATTGGTTAAGTGGTTCCCACAGCAGTAAAATTTGTCACAGGATGCCAGAATGCCACCAGAGCTTATGGAAAAAACATAGATGGAAGAACGAGACATGACAGTATCTTCTAGTTTTTACGTGTCTCAAAGTGCCAGTCAGCAAATAGACTTTACTTCCATCTGGTATGACTAGGGAGGCTACCTGAAACCAAGCCACGTGTTCTTCAACGCTGAAACTTTCACATCCGCAGGTGGATATTAAATATTGAGAAGCAGACATCATCATGCACCAAACAATGTGTAAAGCCACCTAGGATTGCTGATAGCAACGATCAAAGAAACACTCACTACCAAACCTCACATATTAAAAAGGCTGTAATGATCATTTCGGATACAGAACCTACAGAGAACCAATTACGGTGAACAGGTGGCAGGGCACATTTGCTACTCTTTCTTACACTATCTATGAATAAATCCAATGACAAAACGAGTACTCATTTTGATGCTGCCTCCCAAGGCAAACTCTCAGAACATAACTGGCAGTCCCACCAATACTATGCACGTGAAAAAGAAGATACAATATGCTGTGAAAACATACTCTTCTTGTTAACTTTATATTTGAACAAGTTTGGAAGGAAACTTGAAACAGCCTTCTAAACTTGGCTCTAGCATAGGCTAACAACATGCAGAAAAGCAAAACTGTTCCTGTTACTGAAACTGGAATACAGGCTTTAAGTTATACTTGCTTTAGAATAGAAAAGTTCAGTTGGAAGGGACTTACAATGATCATCTAGTCCAACTGCCCGACCACTTCAGGGCTGATCAAGGTTCAGGTCAGGGCTGACCAGAAGCTGACCAAGTTGTTTAGAACTTGGACATACGGCTCCTATCGATAACTTGTTTAAGCATGAAAATAATTTGGTGTCATATTTTAAACTGGCTGTTTTATACAGCAGTTTTTACATCAGCAGTACTACTTAGAGAATACTTCAGAAAAAAGTTCATCGCCTTCCTACAGATCCCTTTGGTTAAGCCTCACAGAAGAGCAGCAGGACTGACCTTACACTTACGTCACTATTTTCTGTTATTCTGAAAAAAATTTTGAAAAGCTTTTCCGGTTGTTTTTTGTTATATCCTACTTTACAAAGCAAACCTCCATCATTTCCCGTCTCATTGAGAGCTATTCCGAAAAATAACTGTCGCAGGTCTCCAGAAAACACCCACCCTCGCCCACCGCCCCGGGGCCTGGCGGTTCCACCGGCACAGCTCGGCTCCCGCCGCCCCTCCGGACACCCACCTTGTCCGCCGTGCTGGGCGCCGGCTTCAGTTTCCCTTTGGCCATTAACATCGCGTTGATTTTCGCGGCCACGGCCGCGGCCGCATCCAGCGCTCCCGAGG